TGGGACAGAGGTATACTACGAATCCAATTCAGAATTAGGCCAAATTTAGGACAATGAAATTAAACTAGAAGTATGGTTTAGGACTTAATGCAACACTTTTGGAAAGTGATGGCTAAAACAGTTTAAATTGCAAATGTGGAGGACTATTTTGCAAAAGAAAGACAATAATACAGTTTAGTTTACCTACGTTAAACAAAAGCTCATAAATTTTTTACACATTCATGGTTAATGTTGTAATGGATTAGTATAATGAAATGCAATTTGGTGCTAATTTTTTCTTCCAGGGCTGGAGAACTCCCCCATACCCCATGCACGTCTCCATCAACAGTTACCAAGTACAAAGAAAATGTTGAAATTAACGTAAGTGGAGGAAATGGAAAAAGACATCTGGAAAGAAGTCAGTGTGAAATTGACTAATCTGAGATCCATCCTTTTCTCACATAAATGTGTTAATTAAGTGCTGAACTGAATTTTTCCATGGAAATATGCACTTCCACGTTGTTATTTGGTGCAGGAATTGATCCATATAGGTATCAAGAAACACAACCAGGAGTTGGCCACTACCAGTAGTGTAGGTGTGGAGGTCAAGGGTTCAACTCTTGCCTCCATCAAAAAGTTTGTCACTTAATATGGCTTTTGCTTAAGATTCATGTGGGTGCTCTGCACCCGTATGGTCCGATAGTGATTTAATCCCCGTCAGTTTTCCGTGATCCTGTTGGATTACCCCCTTTAGTGGGCTAGATTAAAACTAGGAGTAGGTGTAGATATAGATGACGACAAGTGACAAAAAAAAAAAAAAGGTATCAAGAAACACATAAAATCTACAAGAGGAAGAAATTTGGGCTCTGGAAAACAAAGAAATAAATCAGGCCATACAAACTAGAAAAAAAAGAAATGACCATCGGACTTCGCAAAATGCAACTCTCAATTTTTTGATTTCTCAAACCTTCATATATATCTTTCTTAATACATACAGTACATATGATTATGCATTCCGACTTCAAAACTGTGATTAAAAGTTCGGTGTAAAAATGCGAGTGTGGCAAAATTATGCATATAAATATGTAGGTGAATAATACGAATATACTTGAAAGTTATAGCACTAAAAATGCAGGAAAAATTTCTAAAGGTTTCAAAGGTTATACTTGATAAGTGAATATTTAACGTACATTTTGTATGAATTTGGCATGAATTTTGGTATGTTTTGAGAAGATTAAAGCCATATTTAAACTCTTTTGGTGATAATTGCTTAAATATTGTTTAAGAGTTAAGAAATTGATAAATGAGTGATTAATGCGTAATTTTGTGAAATTGTGAAGGTAATTGATGTATGAAATTCATGCACAAGTTGAAAGAAATGTCAGGGTCATCCAGAGGACAAAGTACACAAGAAAGTGGGAGCAAAAATGTAGAAAAAGGGAAGAAGTGAAAAACTGGAAAAATGTTCAAACACGGATCCGAGCTCGGATCCGTGTGTACAAGAGGGATCCGACCCCTCGTCTGTACTTCTGGCGGAGTATATCCGAGGTCAGGACGATCCGACCTCGGATCCATCATGGGAAGGCCTCGGATCCTATAATCCGAGCTCGGATCCATTATCACTCCTCGGATCTGAGGCTCGGATCTGTCTCTCTCCTCAGCAAGTGGCACAGCCGTTTTTTTTTACCTTTCTCACAACTTTTACAGCTATTTTGAGGACAGAAATCGGTGGCACATGCTTCTGCAATAAAAGAGAAGACCAAATGAGTGTGGACAAAAGGAACATCATATCTTTGACTTCTTTTTACAAAATCTAAGTGGAGGAAATTATGAAGTGAGAGGAATGGAATTTCTACCACCTTTTATGCAGAAACACAAGGGAGAAGCAAGGGGAATATACGTAGCTAGTTTTCCTTCTTGCAACAAGTTTTCTCTCTAGATAGGAGTACTTGGAGAAGCATTTTTTTTGGAGAGTTTTCACTTGTAATCATATTGTGCAAGAACATAGCAGGAATTGGAGAGCTTCACCTTCAATTGGCTAAGCTTTCTTTTATCTTTCTTATACTTGTACTTTATGATGTTTTGCATTAATAAACTTGTGAATTTGATTGTTAAATCATTCATGAGTAGCTAAACTCCTTCATCTAGGGAGTAGATGAAACTTATGGCTAAATAATACTAATTGAATGTGATTTACACTTGTTATATCTTGAGTTAACTTGTCTACTTGTGTAGCTGTGATTTCTTGTTATTGTTTGATCACCAATAACTTGTTTACAGTTGTTATTGTTCAATGAGAATTGGTAATAACAATGGAAACACATGAGTAGAGCTTGAGTTGTATGTTCATGAAAATAGAAATACACTTAAGTGGATTACTTAGTATTTCATGAATTAAAACAGAGTGTAGTAGTATTTCACCATGGAAATAGGGAAATCTATATTGCTCTAAGCCATTTCATCATGGAAATGAGAACTTGGTAATCTTGGAAATAAATCTCTGGTTAAGCAAGAATAATAGCAAGAAGTAAATCCATTTATTTGTGTAGTTTATGCCATAAGTGGAATCTACATCCTAGAATCTTCATTAAGTGAAATTTCTCTATTTGCATTCAGCATTTGTTAAACTAGATTTGTATATCAGATTTGTAGATTACAGCATTAGATTTTCTCTGCTCAAAATTAATGGTAAGTCTAAATAATAGAGAGAACAGGGGCTTAGTAATTGTTTAAATTGCTCCTCGTGGGATCGACCCGATACACATCTTGTACTAAAATTTCGACCTGTATACTTGCAGTCCAACGGGTGTAAAATCGGAATTAAACTTGCATTGATACAAAAAGAACCCGTCAATACTACATTAGTATCACGTTTAACTTTTATTCTTGTGTATCAAATATAAAAGTTATTAAAACTTTATCACCTTATCATATTTATATGCGTAACTATATAGAAACTACTATTACATAGGTGCAATTTTATATATAACTGGAAAGATATTTTATTATAGTTACATATATTTTTATAGTTTTTTTTTAAAATTGAAGTATAATTTGGGAAGTATAATATGCTAAAATTTATTATGTATTTTATAAGATTTTGTGAAAAGTAAAAGTATTTTAATAGTGCACAATATTCAGAAGCTTTTTTTTTTTTTTTTAATTATACGCGTAAACTTGTGCCATAGAAAAGCAAATCCAACCCATTTGGACGGATTTGGGGCCCTGCACGGTTAAGGGCCAAGATTTGCCCTCAAAATTTTGTGCGGCTGAAATTACACCATGTAACTCGATTTTCGCACCAAGTGTGGGGCCCACCACTATCTGTTCTGAAAATACATCCTGTGGAAAAAAGTTACATCGTGTTTAACCAATGTTACGCGCAGTGCAAAATGAGGACAACCTTCACAAACGGTTGCACCTGCAATTTGTGCCCCGTATCCTGCTTGGACCAAACATGTGTACTATGAAGAGCCCAAATAAACTGACAGACTAGTCCTGAATGATCACATGGACAGCAAAGCTAAGCTACTAATAATTAAATCATATGTTAAATGACCGTTGGACTGCAGTCCTACTCCACCCATCATATGCGGCACAAACTATCACAACAAAACTTTGCTTTAAATTTTCAAGTTTGGATTTATGTGCTTTTCATGCGTTTGCATTTTACATCATTTTCACATGTTTTTTGCATTTTTTCTGTATAGTCAAATATTTGAAAGGAATTTCATTTTGTTCTTTACTTTTTTTTTTCCTTAAAAAACTGAGAGATCAAACCAATAAGACCAATCAGCTGATTGGTTGGGGACTTGGGTTGGATTTGGAACTAGGATCACCTTCCCTAAAGTTTGGCCAAACTTTTAGTCGAACCCAAGTTTAGCAAAAGTGCCATCAATGGTCAATGGCGAAATTCAGGAAAATCCCCATTTGAATTACATTTTTCTGGATTTTTTGCAGAAAAATTATTGTAGCGATTTGATATATGTGAGGAAAAAAGTGATAGGAAATGTGTTCACGTAAAACGTAACAATTTTTCTGAACAAAATCGCAATCCAAACGGGGCAAAATTCTAGAACTTGGTTTTTCACATGGACCAATGGCTCTAACCTAAATTTTGCCGATAATGGATGTAGAATCTCGAAATGATCTTAAATGAGCAGTGACTCCTCTTTATCTCTACACTTAAATCAAGATCAAAATCCACAAAATCTACACCAAGATAAATAAATTATGAAGGATTCATGAACCAAGAGACAAAGAGCCGAAGCCTTAAATCCCATTCCATCAACTTTGGATCCACAAATATCTAAGACTATTAGTCATAAAATTGTCATAAGCTAAACAACAGCATCTGAAATGGACCAACAGATAGGTGAAATTAGGCACAAAAGAAAACAAGAATCATTGACATTGAGAGTCATCACCAAACAGTATAGCAAGCAGAAGAAGTGAATGAAAAGTAAAGAACAAGATAGGAAAAGGTTTATGGTGAACCACACTACCAAGAAGAACATTGATGATGGATTTATGTGTTGGATACTTTGGAATTTGAAAGGCATTTTTTCTAACTTTTTTCTTTTTTTATTTTCGAAAAAAACTACATGCATACATTATATTACAGGATTTCATACCCTTCAAACTATGAGTAGAAATTTTCTAAATTTTTGATCAAAATTGTGTTATCGATATAAATTTTGTTACCACGTGCTGCTAGGACAAAACTTTTCTACGTTTACTATATATCCTATCAGGTCTATATGCATCGCATATATGTAAAATTTAAATTCAAATTCAAATTTTACATATTTGTAATGCATATTCAGACCTTTAATGTATGCACGATTAGTGTAAATAAAATAAATCCATAACATTGACAGTGAGCAAACTACTCCTTTGACATATTACTCTGTGAATCATGACGAGATAGTCAAGTCCAAGTTAACATGACTGTCCTTGCTAGACTGGTGAAGAAGGTCCAAAGAGTCGCTGGAGGCACTGGACTGCGAGATTAGACGATTTTAGGACCACAAGTTCCCCTTTTTTCCGCATTCAGCAATGGATTGTAAAAAGTCAAAAATTCCATTCTCACTTTCTTTTGACGCATAGAAACAACTTGTATCACCTTGTATGACCTGCAAATGTCATTAAAACTCAAGTTAATTTGTATGTGTTTGGATAGGAGATCAGTTGGGATAATATTTTGAAAAAAATATTATAGCATTTTTTTTGATGTGATACATGTGATAAAAAAAGGTGGTTAAAAAATATATTTATGATACAAATAGATAAATCTGTGCAAATAATTTGCTATCTAAAAAACATTTTAAAACACATAATGCAAATTATATCCCGTGATTGTTGAAACTTTACCCTTTTTTTATTCAAAACAAAAACTTGACCCCCTTTTTGATACAAACTCTCGCTCTTTAAGTTTCTGCTATGCCCTCCAAGTACTCGTAAGCTTATTTATTGAGATCATGTCAAAATGGCAAACATACGCGTGTGTGTGTATATATATATATATATATATATATATATTATATACCTCACATCATTATTGTATTAAGAATAGTAGGACAATTTAGCAGTTACACTTACCAATGAAGTTTCACAATTCTAGTTGCATAATGTTGAGTTTATCTTACATCAATTATGGAAGGAGCAGGGTGCTTGATTATAAGTGTGAGGAACACTCTCACTCCTTGAACTAGCTTTAGAGTGAGAAGGCTCAATATCACCCAACATTGGTATCAGAGTCTAGTTATAACGTAATTCAACTTAGGGTTTGATGTGTGAGGAGGAGATTGTTGAGTTGAGTGCTTGGTTGTAAGTGTGAAGGAAAGTCTCACTCTTTGAGTTAGCTTTTATGGCGCAACATCTTCTGTTTCTTTTTTTATTATATTACCATTTCTCCTTCATAAATACATATTTTAATTCTTTTTTGTTTCTTTAGATCCAATAATTATTAGCTAAGTAATACACAAAATTTAACAAATTCAAATAATCAAAATACACAAAAGAATGAGATTTTTTTAATGAATTTTCTATCATATTTTTTGATTTTCTATTATATATTACTTTTTTGAAACTGCTGTATTTATTTTTATTGTGTTAGTAGTTATTTGATAGTAAGAAAAAAAGAATTAAAATATGATATTTATAAAGGAGAAATAGTAATATATAAAAAGTGGGATAGAGGGTGGGATAAAAGATCCGTTGCATTTTTAGGATGAGAAGGTCCTATAGCACCTGGCACATAAAAGACGTGTGTAGTTCTTATGTTGTTAAAAATTGATATTAGAAACAAACGTACGGAGGTAAAAGGGAATGTAACTTATTTTATATTTCAAGTAATCTTAGGGAACGAGTATTTATACATATTTGTTTTATGTAGAACCAGATTGCCCAAGTTTAATCTTAAAAATTTTGCACCACAAAATTCTTTTATCTATCTTACTTTGGTCCCATAGTTAATTAACAGAGCTTAGAAAAGTTGAAGAAGAACAAGTACTGCAAATCACATTTTGCTCAATTGGTTCCCTTAATTTTCAATTGATTCCCAAACTACACCAGAGCTTCAGCCTGGCCCTAATGTTACACTAGAATGCTTGATTAATTAACCTATTTTAGTCCTATCGGTGATGCTATTTCCAAACTGATTAAGTCATGCGTGTCTGAGTATGATACTACTAAACATTTGCAATGGTGTTCTGCTAAAAGCAAAATTTGCAATTACACATCAAAATGTGTATCTAACCAAACAATTGCCAACATATTCCCTTATAACTATGATTGTTTAACAAATGTGATTTGATTTTTGAAAAAGTTATTCACACATTAAATTGTCATCTTCCTTATATCAGAAGGGGAGTTAATTCTGTGGGCTGAAAAGCATGCATCTATTTTATCCAATGACTATGGATTGCTAGCTTCTTATTGTTGCTACTTAGCACATAGTTTTGCCCAATATCACATCAACAACATTCGTGTGGCAGAAAATAAGCACTTTCTTCTTATTATTTTTTCCATATTAATTTCCTTTCCTTAATTTCTAATATATTATAAGTACTTATTTTATTTTATTTTGTAGGCCGTAGTTCATCCAAAATACTCTAAAGTTTCTTTTAGATTGATGAATTTGATGAAAGATTTGAAATCTATCTAAATCGCTCCAGTTGTTGGAATTATGTAAGAGATATTTAAATTTGTAATTCACCAATTATCAGCACACCTTTTAAATACTACATAGTTTGATGATTTACAAATTCAAACACCTCTGAAATAATTTTAAAAACTACAGGAATTTGCGAGAATTTTAAATCTTTCGTCAAATCTCTCAATCCAAAAGCTGCCTTATACAATCTTAATATCATCAAAGGAACAACGTGATGAAAATTTATGATTGGTGTCATTGAATTCCAAATATTTGACACTCAACTGCCTACGATTTTTTTTTTTTTTTTGCTGTTGAGTGCCTATGATTCAAGTAACATTTTTGGAAGTGTAACAACTAAGGTGAAATAGATAAAACACTTTGCAGCTTTGGGAAAAAGTGTCTCAAAATCGGAATTTCGGGTTCAATATGAGTATTTATGTAAAGTCTGAGGGTGCGGAGAATAAATGTGACTCTAAGCTACTGCTTTTCATCAAATTTTCTCAACACTAGTAACTATTGGAACAAAGTGGGACAAATAAAAGAATTTTAAAGTTTCTAAAGTCCAAATCATATATATGGTGCAATGTGAGAATTGATATAAATTTGTAGGGTATATAATGGAATTAGTCCTTTTTCTTATATGCACATGGATTTTGTTACTGTAGGAGTAGAATTTAACACTACGAGTAGAAGTTACCTGGAAATTGAGTAAAGGATCCCCTTGATTAATAGTTTCGTTTTTCCCTCTGCTTTTGCAAGTGATCGAGCTTTCGGGTTCCTTCCTTTCTTTTGGTGGTCCTTCTTGGTCTTTGCCAACTTTCCTACAAAAGCAAGAAGAATTTGAGCAGACCCTACTACTATGTGTTATGCAACCACAACGAAAAAAAAAGAAGAGAAAACCCTACTTCCTCTGGACCTCATAATTAGAAAGGAAAAACAAAAAACTAAAGAAGAACACATGTACTTTATCATTTATGCACTCCTTCAATCGAGTGTTTTTTCCTTTTAGCACGACCTTTGCCTAGAATTAACTATTTTTGTACATTTTTCCTTTGCACAACTCTCATTTGATGTATTCTTATAAAATTTAAAATAATTGTCAGCATAGCATGTCCATTGAAAATGCCATGTCTGATTTTGATCAACATACATATATGAAAATTGGAAATAGTAGGGTTTTGATCAACATATATAAAACCCTACCGTATGGTATAGTATCTAAAAGTTCTGAAATCTTTGGTACAGAAATCAGTTTCCTTGCTATAATCAAAATGTTCCCTTTCCATATAGTTTAAGTTCAAGCACTAAAAAAAGGAAAATATCTAATATTATGAAGAGATCATGTAACGTTGTGATGATGCATAAAGAAAAAAATCTATCAATCCAGAATGTATCTAACTATATATAACAAATGTGAAGCTTTAATTAAAAGGGAAAACTATGGAAAAGTTGTTTGCCTTCCATATCACGTACATGCAAATAAAAAAGGCTATCACTGATTATCACCTTGAAGATGAACTAACTTGGCGGTGCCTACCTGGTAAGGGACCAAACTACAGCATCTGGGGTCTCCTCCTCATGCAGCTTCATAGGTACCACCAGGTTAATAGTGGCCCTCTTCTTCATATTTCTATACATCTGAAAAGCCATGATTGAATTTTAATTCAGATTGGATTAATCATGCATATAACCTTTTTCCCTTTTCTTCGTTTTTTCTTTAAATGATGATCTCTGGCAGCAATACTGTTTTGCAATTTTTTTTTTTTTTGCTCAAACAGGCTCATGCCAATTATGCATGCCATAATATATTTTACTATAGGAAGAGAATTCAGTCTTTTTAGCATTAACATTTTCTTTGCGAAATGTCTATAGCATTAACCTGAATACTAATTTGCTGCTTTAATCTTGTAGATAATAATTCATCAGTTTTTCATGAGATTACCAAAAAGTAAAATTAATGAAATGAAATACATATGAGAGGAGGCACCTTGGTTCACATGGTAATGTCTAAAAGTGGACGAGTTAATAGGCTAGTATCAGATTGTCTACTCCGAAATACTAGTTACAGATTTGGGTACCCAATTCTTCTCTGCTTTCATTTATGTTTCTATTTGAGGCCAAAGAAGACCAAAACGATGTCAAATATCAACAGCAAATAATTATAAATATTGACAAAGTGGAAACATTAGTGCTTACTCAGATTTGGTGTTTACAGGATTTGAAACCATGCTAGCTAGCATATAGATTAAACTACCGGAAGTAGTTAATTCAAGGTAAAATTTGTCAACTGAGTTGTGATCGATTGTGATTGATCTAACTCCAGATATAGATCAAGTGAACCAATTTTCAATCTAAAAGTGCATGTCTAGGACATGTATGCTTATGTGCAGGCTACCAGAAAAGAAAATAAGGGATAGAAAGAAAGTGAAAAAGGACGTATGGAATAAAGCAACAAAACAATCAAACAGTTAGCCTAGTTACTAAGGAGCAGGGCCTGATTCCGTCTAAAAATGATGAAATGATAGTTGTCGTTTCCTCAACATCTCAACTGGCGCATGTACAACAGGTGTCGGAGGTAAAAAGTGGTCAGTGAGTCACCAAGGAAAAATGCAGATGCTGGACAGGTTCCAACACCTCTCCATACAACCTCGACCTCGAGGTCGAAGGCCAGGATGCAATTCTTATAGCAAACAGTATTTCATGCCTAATCCACCGGCCACGAGGCAGGTGTAAATATTAGCTTCAGCCAACTTGAACAGATCTTTTGGCCGGCTTCTGATAGTTTTTTACATTTATGGATATCAGACTCTCTCACCCTCTGCTCCTCATTTTTATACACCGGACTCTAACTTGATCGCGCAAACCATTCCGGGGGATTTAGCCCCGTTTTGATCTTTTTCAGCTGAAAGCAAGTGGATTCTCCGGAGTCCACCAGGCAACTCTTCTTCCTCCAGTATTCTATAATTATTGCAGACTTTTGCTTCTGCAATATAGCTTCCAAAAGTTGTGGGGTCACAATTATTGCGCATTGGTGCCATTGTTTTGTATGACGAAGATACTCATCCATTGCATGCTTTTTAAACTTCAAAATTTTTGTGAAGAATAATGAAACTATTGCTCCTGCATTTTTTTTTTCGGAGAACTTGAAAAACTTCTGTTTCTGCTGCTTATGCCTTCCATTATTAATTGAAACCCATTTTCGCCAGCCGAATTTCTCCAACATTAACTTGGACTTTCAATTTAATGCCAAGAGCTGCTAAACGTCTACTTCCTTATTCTGTTTCTCTTCATTCTGTCCATAATCTCTTTCTTTCGGGACTTCTGGAAATACATAAGAGTCCAGAAGTCTGTGTATACATAGTATTATCCTGATGCATTCTTCGACCCCATAATACTGATCTTCATTTTTTCTGATTTTATTAGCAGAATGCAGTAGAGAGTATTTGACATATATAAAAATGCGAAGCACATTGATTTTGAGACCGGCCCAAATTTTAAACAATATTGTCTTTCCAATGCCCAAGGCATTTGCTTGTCTATCCTAATTTTTTCTCTCACTCTTCTCAAATGAATACAATATTTTAAACACCTTATATACAAAACACAAAACTTAGTGAATATGAAACTACTAAGAGGAGATACTACTAAATGATTACACCATAACCTAAACAAGTAAATTACTAAAACTTGAATATACATCAAAACTTCTAAATTAGAAATGGAAAATATCAACTACTTATTAGGAAGTTTGGTCTTATTATGTCAATAAATTTCTTAATTATGTCAGTAAACTAAGTCCCCGAAAAGGAAAGAAAAAGGAAGTTTACTAAATTCTCTCCAAATTGATCTATTTCTTCTTGTTGTTCAAGTTTTAGTACCAAAGGAGCACATGTTAACCAAAGCCACAGTATCAAAATGAAGGGAAATTTGAAGAAAAAGAAAAAGATTAGCTTGTTTGATTGTTATACCTGCAGATGACTTTTGACATGAGACACCTGAAGTCCGCTTACACCCATCATTTGCACGATTCCCTTTGGCGTTGCTTCTGAAAATTTTGCTGGTTCAATCACATATTGAACATATACTACTACACCAAGCAATGTATTTATTCACCTAACCTTAATATATTACTACGTTTGAGAAAAATATATGAAGTCAAACCTGCAACTAACTCTTACATAGCATTAGCTAGATGATTTGATGCAAAGCAGAATGGTTAGTCTTGTTTTCAAATTTTGATCCACTCAACAAGAAAATACTCAGATGGTAGATTAATATTCTTGCCATACTACTTGTCCTTCTTTATGAAACATAACATTTAAGTAAAAAATATATAATGAAAATGGTTTTACTCAATATAGCTAACTAATTTCCAGTATCTGGAACTTACTGTGCTTTCCACCAAGGTGTTCTACAGCTTCAATGAAGTGCTCATGAAGCTCCGGCGTCCACCGGAGACGCGGAAAAGCCGATTTCTTATACTTCCTGACGCCAGTTCTATTACACATCTCCATATTCTGCAGGTTTCTTGGACATCGAGGAATGTTCAACATAAATACAAATGAGGGTTAGACCACTACCACATGTGAAAAGGATAAGATGTTTTGGGGGGCTTTGACTTTTGTGAGCCTGAGCAGAATTTGAGAAAAATTCTCTACTGCCTCAACATTAGGGGAAAAAGAATGAAAGAAATAATTGAAGCAATTATTGTTTATTGGTTTGAAACCTGGTTACAAGTGACTGGACCATTTGATCTAACTACCTCTTGATTGGATCTCATGAGATATTCAACCTTAATAGTTTTTTGACTTGGTGTTCCCATATATAGTATAGGAACGCTAACTTAAATATCTCAGACTAACTATAGTTATGGTGTGCTCAAAATTCTTTGCTTGAGAGTAATTTCTTCCTACAAGAACAATTCAATGTGACTGAAACCTTAGTACGTCAAATTGACAATATTGTTACAGCCTACCAAACATTTTTGACTTGTCGGCTGATTCTTTGACTAAAATTTTGTTCAGCTAGATATGTGCTTAATGGCCCGCAGCCCCATATGCTCATAATTGAGCACAATTCAGTTATTTGTTTCAATTGCTATTTTTAGGAGTTTTTACAGAAAAATATACTGTAGCGATTTGATGCATGTGAAATAAAGAGGTGACTAAAAAATATGTTCACAGAAAATGTAAAATTTTTTTTTGAAAAAAATCACAATCCAAACAAATATTAGTAGAGCAAAAGCAAAAGATTTGGTTAACAGGTGCCCATTTGAAAAAAGTGTAGTTAAGAGAGATTTCAAGTGTTATTTTTTTTTTTTGAAAAAGTGAATTAATTTTGAAAAATATCTAAATACAGAGGATGCAATAATTATTTTTTTTAGTGTAAGTGGGAGGGTGCAATAATTGTAATTATGTGTATAATCACATGATAAGTTAGGTATAATTTAGGTATGTTAAAGAGTGCCAATAGGTTTAGAAAATGTTTATATATATATATATATGTATATGTATATTTTAATTTTTTTCCCTAAAAAGGTATATATATTAAATGCCAAGAAAAATGGTTATATCTTTCTATCAAAAGGTAAATCATGACTCTAAGACTTAACTTTGTGTAGTAGAATAGTCAAATTTAAGAATTCCTGTGTCGGAGCAGTCTGGTACCTAATTCATGCAATTTGATTTGCCCGGATTGGACTATTTGACTCAAAGTTTTTTTTTCATTTTTTCTTGGTTCCACTTTTTGCACGTTAAATGCGGTCAAAATAAACATGCCTGTTTGTCAATTCCACGAAAGAAGTGTCTCGATCTATGATTGAAGAAGGGTTAGAGAGATAACCCACGGAACGTATTATTAGGGTCATTGAATTTGTTGAACAGGTAATAATTTCACCAAATAAATTTTCCTCCACCGTATTTAGTTTGAATTGTAAAATTTTTGTTCATCTATAAAATCACTTATCGTTTCACAAAAAAAAATATTTAATTTCACAAAAAAAAATATTTAATTTGAATTGACATTCACGAATTATTCGTGTTATGTTGATGCCCTGTGACGTGATGACAAAAATTACGCATTTTTTTGCACGAAATATTATTATTAAATTTCCAGGCAATGTATTCGTTTACGATCACCAAAGTCACTAAGGAATTCAAAAATAAGCTAAACAAAAACGGCTTTAATGGACCTCTAGTACTGGTCAGCAATTGAGGTTGAGTTTGATTTAGATGCATTAATTTTTTCATAAGATAAAACAAAATTGATGAACTTAATCTCCCCAAAGAAGAAAAGTAAAATAGAATAAGATACTTACACTCCACTCAAACCACGCATACTTTTCAATGCTGCCGTAATTGAATACATAATAAAGCCGCAGATCTCGTAGCAAACACACCAAGAAAAATGAATGCGAAAATTTGATGAATTAATTGTCATGATTAACTCACTAATAACATTATGATTAGGATATGTTAGGTTCATGAGTAAAGGGTTATGTTCCACATTGGTTCGAGAGATGGAGAAAGAGCGGTTAATATGTAAGTAAGGGTTCAAGATCTAATAGGTTAAACTTTTGGGTCAGAGTTGGTTCCTGACTTGCATATTGGGCTCTTTGGTGGACTCTTTCGAGGTGTTTCTCCTTATCAAATTGGTATCGGAGCTTTAGGTTGCAAGACTGGACTACTCATGGGCAAGTGGATTCTTCTCGGTGTTGGATCAGTAAAAATTCTCTTCTTGGTGGTGGACCAAGGTGCTAAGGAGTTTGGCTAATGTTGGATCAGGTGCGCCGTGAGTTTGGCAAAGGGTCCAGCTGGTGTGAGATGGAGACAAGGGCTAGCAGAGGTGGGCTTGCGTTGAGTATTAGAATGGACTTAAAAAAGAGATTGTAAATTTGGATTTAATGTGGGGGTTACTCATAAAGGGAGAGATTTGTTAGGTTCATGAGTAAAGGCTCATGTCTCACATTAGTCCGAGAGATGGAGAAAGATCGGTTAATATGTAAGTAAGGGCTCAAGATCTAATAGTTTAAACGTTTGGATCAGAGTTGGATTCCTTACTTATATATTGGGCTCTTTGGGGGACTCTCTCGAGATGTTTCTCCCTATCAGGATATGATTGCATTTATTAAGTACCGATGCATGTCCCACAACCTAGGACATGTACATTTTTTTATTCAATTAATTTTCTAGATAGCAGCTAAAAAGCCTAATGCATAGTTAAAGTTCCATCAACGGGCAAAAGCAAAGTAAATTAGTCAAGGTGTGAATTGTAGAAGAGATGCCAAACATAAAAAGGGAACCTAAAAGGCAAGTTTGTCTCGATTTTTATACTATCACTTCCATGTAAACAACAAAAGACGGTGCCTACTTTTGTACCCATCTTTTCGTGTTATGGGCTGCCTTGTTCAATACCAAATTGCACCAAAATTCAATGTGGATGGAAAACAAGAAAGCTAACTGAGCGATACTTTTTGCGGCTGTTGCTAAAAATTGTTAGAGCTCCAACTTCATTGGGTGATTCTAGAGCCGCCAATGAAGTTTGTGTGCAAATTTTTTATCAAGCAGTAGTTTCAAGAGATCATATCGAATCAAACAACTCTCAAGAGTAATGTTTAGATGAAGCATCTCCATAACATATGCCTTATGATTTGAGGAGACTGTTGGCTACTATATTGGTGTACTTAGCTGCGGCTAATAATGCTAACGAGGGGTGGCAAAAATGTGAAATTCGAATACTTCCGCCAAGCATCAAAGGATGATCACGTTTGCTATCAATTTCTACATTAGATAAGCAATTTTTTAGGTTCCACGTGCAAGGCAGAAAAGATGCAAGAGACACTGGCATATCTAATGTGCATCGATCAACTTAATTCTGGACAAAGAATTGCTTTTATTACAATGATAGATGCTGTATATGTAAAGAAAAGAACATGTTTCTTTATAGATGGTAAATATATCTCTATCGAGATTTACATGCTGAGGTTTTTTTTTTTTTTTATGAAATATCATAATTTCATTAATCTGCACTAATGGCAAAACTTATATCATCAACCATACACAAATATCAAAAAACAATTTGAAGAACAATAAAAGTTGTATTGTAAAGCTTCAAATTTAAAAAATAAGATAAAATAATTGTAATTCTATGAACATCTGTGCATGATTCCAATCGTTAGATCTGCTGATTAACTGTTTCAAGTCTAGATATTATGGTGAGATCTGCCGAATAGATCCAAGAAATTCCAGATTTGATAATCAAAATTTGAGAAAACTCAAATCTAATAAAAGAAAAATGAAAAAATTATAAAAAAATTCTCACTACTAATCCTTAGGAGAGAATAAAACTCTCACTAAAAAATTTAGAAAAGAAAAAAATTCTCACTAGACAATCCTAAGGAGAGGAGAAACTCTCACTAGAAAATTCTAGAAGAGATTTTATTTATACAAATGAAAAGAAACTACAAAAAAGGCTCCTCCTATGGCAAAGATCAGAAAAATCTGATCTCTCTCCTATGGGAGAGTTGAAAGGAGTTTTAGTTAGAAAATTTTTTTTAGAGAGAAGAAAGAGAGAAGGAGGAGAGAAGGAATAATATATTTGTGCTTACATGTCAATCATTTAGATTTACTTGCTGTGGTTAGGTAGTAGATAACAGCTGATATAGAATTATAAATAATCGATTTGTTTCATAGGTAACAAGCAATGTGGAGTAAATTGATAATATATTAAACACAGTTTGTCAGATCTAAACTCCCAAGACTTTGAAAAAACCAACATTCAGCCGGCAGAAATCATCAATATATGTGTAAAAAGAATCTAGAGCTAAAGAGCATAGATCACATTTTTTTTAATAAAAAAAAAGCTTTCTATTTCAGTCTTGTATTTCATATTTTACTCTTATCAGATTTGATATGATCTTACCACATATAAGTCGGATAAAACCTACCAAGTTGATTTGCACCAAAACATGCTATTCACGAGAGTTGATCTAACTCTTGCAATGAATCATTCTGAGACTTCTTTACACACTGAACTCACGGATTAGAAAGTGGGATTTTGGAAAATAAAACATGTAAAAGGAGCTATCTCCCATTTCTTAAATCACTAGGAATTCTCCATCCCAAAGAGAATTACCCAAGCACGAATAAGAGTAAAAACTATGATGAATCATAATTCAACAAGGTTGGAATTGCTACGGCCTACAATGTTGATGCATGCAGATGTTAAATATGCGCAGCCTCTCTTTATTCTCAAATGATCAAGAATGTTAGGGAAGCTTCACTCTGGAATTCTCAAGAAATGAATTTGGTGCAAAGGTGATAGCTACTTGTGTGACGTGGTAAACTTGAAAGCCACATTTTCCTTTCTTCAACCGACATAAAGCTCTATTGTTAGCGTTCGTACTGATTTTTGATAGCTAACAAACCAAAATCGATTTGACTTGGTAGATTGAGATTTCTGAACCTACCACTTGATGTGTATCAAGAAAAAGGTGAAAATGTGTTGAGAAATGTAGA